TATTTTACGGAGTATTTAGTAGACTCTGTTAGGGCCATTTGTTTACTGGGTCAATTGTTTATTGTAAAGATTTTCAGGTACTAAGTAATAAGTAATTTGTAAGTGGCCTATGCTCCAGAAACAGTTACTAAGTAATGTGTTAGTGGGTCTAAATTTTAAGGATTGATATTTACTTTGCTTCAATAGATATTGAGGCTCAATCTAAAAATATTCTGATAAAGGTTTTCCTTCATCTTCATTATTTTATGGAATATGATCCTGATTTCATTATACAATTGCAATTTTCTTTCCTTAATTCTCTCTACTTATCTTGAGTTCTTTCAAAGTGCGTGGACAATCACCTTCTTGATCGGCCAAGAATACATTTGCTGAAATTTTGGGCGTTATGACCCCCATTACTAAAATGACAATACTGCTAACTAAATGAAATACTTCTTCCTAAATAAATAAAAGAACATTGTAAGAATTAATACACAAGCATATAGTGAAAAGAGCATTATATATCTGTTCTCGTGTATCTTGGTTATCCATTTATTTTATCTGCAATTCTGCATACTCGAAAGAAAGGGGTTCTCTTTCATGGGTTGATGAATTATTAGGCAAAGCAAGATTTGAGCCATGAAGTGTCAAGTATTTACTCTCTAAGCATCTAACCTAGTAAAGTCATGAATGATGAATCTCATTGCTTTGCTAAGAGACAAGTGCCTCTCATGCCTGAGGTACCTTAGAGTGGGAAATATTCTTAGGTACACCCTTGATATACCTAAAAAGGCATACCTTCACACATAAGAAAAATCATAATGGGTTTGGGCCTAGACTTAAATTTTCTTTTATCATTAACTTAATTATGTGAGATGGCTCACATGATATTCTATGGACCTAAGGCTCATGATAGAGACACACCAGGCACTGAGGCGACACTATATTGCCAAGTAGACGTGCAGGATAGGAGAGGAAGGGGAGCGCCTTGGACTCATGGACGCAAGGCGAGGGGTGGCAGAATTCAATGGCTGACAGAAACATCAGTTGCAACGCTTCTGCGTGAACCTTAGCAAGCAGACTAACTTTGTTGCATGGTTATATATACAACAGCAACAGCAACAACAACTTCGTTGAATCCTACGTGCATGGTTATATATAAAGAGGCAAAATGTCAGCAGCAAACTTACAGGCCTACACACATTTTAGTAGAATTAAAGTCTAGCTTGAGTTCATGATTAAATGAATGCACTTGCCTTTTCTATAAGATCAAGAATATCTTGGTTATCAACAAACTCTATATAACTCCAATCAATTTCTTCTCTAGTGTACTCTTCTTGCTCCATTTTGAAGACATGCTGCAAAAGAAAATAACAAACCCAATATCAGATTACTATTTAAGATTTCATCAAATTTTTTTGCGATATAAGGATTTTATGTATGAAAGTACTGCTATGATAGTAAAATATATGTCAGGTACATACCTGGTTGAAATGGTGCTGTAACTTTTCATTGGTCAAATTAATGCAAAACTGTTCGAAACTGCATGAAAGAGATTACTTTCATTTGCAGAAAATAAAAACCCTCAGGAGTATTTAAAACTGCACTTGCAAAAAATATTGACTGGTAAGGCTTGTTTACCAAACCTTTATAATGAAAAAGAAAGGAGAATTAATAGCACAAACCATGCCAGCATTGAACTTTGGGTTATGGCTTGATTAATAAACTTTATTGACTTTTATTTTCTTTAAAAATTCCCTCATTGTTGTTTTGTTCTCTGTGAAACTATCTAGTAGCTCATTAAACTAAGAGAAACGATCCAAGATCATAACATAAACCTATCACAAAAGAAGAAACTAAACAACTGGAGTACTAGTTTCATGGAAATGTACTTTAACAGAACTTTAATACACGCTCTGCAAGAAATGAACCTCTATGTATGATGAAAATAAATTAAAAGCATACCAGCTAAGCACCTGTTTGTCTTTAAACTCTCAAATCCATAAATATCAAGAACCCCGATCAACAACTGAGAATCGGGATCTTGGCCAATAGATTTATTAAACTTTTCAACAAGCCTGAATAAGAAAATATGTAAAATGTGCTACATCTGATACTGACAAGGACTGCAAAACCTAGCAATTTTGGCAACTTACCAATCAAACAGTTTAGAGTAGACCGTTTTTGCCAAAGCATCTCTACTGATAGAAGCAGCTCGGGGATCCAGACATTTTGTTATCTTCTCATCACGAGTTACAATGATACGCTTACATAAAGAATCCTCTAATGACTTCTCATCACACCTAAGCAAAACATAACAAATGATGACCTTTGTGTGCTTGAGAACAGAATACAATCTAAGATATGTTGAGAAACATGCAGAGAGAAACTCACATGAAAAGTTCAGCCACAGTTTTAAGATGGAAGCGAGACTGATCATCCTTAGGTTCTGCAGAATCAGGCTCGCTTCCCTTCACAAATTCAATGTTGCCCAAGTGAAGTATTGCAGCCACAACTCTAAAAATGGCATCCTGCCAATGGATTTATTAATAGCATCTTCACCAGGCCATCCTTTTATAAATAATAGTGTTTTGATTCTAATACCTGAACGTCAGAACTGATCCCTACAACATCCATGGCTCGCCTGGTGGCGAGGTATTCTTTAGATTCATCCACTTCGTCCAATTCAAAAAATTTTGACTGGTTTAGATAATGAAATTTCCTAGGATTCCCCAATTTGTACTTTTCAACATCCTGATAACAATTATTTGAAAAGGAATAAAGTATGAATGAATGAAACAGGAGTAGAAGTTATGGTAATAAGTGTGATACTCTAAAGTTGATGATTAATAACTGGGGATCATGAATATAGTCACTTTTAGGAAACAAGTTGAAGAGTTGACATAAACAATCTAACATCTTGGAGGACAATTATTGGTCAGAATTTAAATGATATGACACGCCTAGCTGTAGAAAAAGATTGTACAGGGCAGTGGGGCAAGTGAACATTGAACAAGGACTCAAATTCACTACTACCTCCGTCCAAAAATGAAGTTCCCCTTCACTATTCACATGGTCAACTTTTTCCACTTTCTTTGCATCTTTACGTTACTCATTAGATAAAATTATATATCATGTTNAAAAAAATGTGTCCTTCGAAACAACAAATTCAATGCTAAAAACACTTATTTGTAAATAATGGTACAAAATATATGATGCTTCACTTGTAGTGAATCTCTTTATGTTTCTACCTTATATTATTTTCCTTATTTTGGTATTCCGTTGTCCTTTTTGAGCTTAGGGTCTATTAGAAACAGTGTATCTTCCTTCATGGGTAGAGGTAAGGTATGTACATCTTAACATCCCCAAACCCACGTGTGGGACTACATTGGTTTTGTTATTGTTGTTGTTGTAATTAGACAAAGTACATTCAAAATTAACAACATACAGAGCATTTCAATAAACCACTTGAACATTCCGGTTTACCCGTTACTAGGTTAAAATCAAAAGTTCCCAACACTTTGATGGCGGAAAGGCACATCATCAGTTCATCCCATTTCTGAAACAAAAAAATTTGCATTCTTAGATAAGCCATTCAAAAATGGAAGAAACAACAGAGTAAAAAGATCAGCAGAAACTGAATTGAAGAATCTCAATCAACATGGAAATAAACCAATAACTCGGAAGCAAATGGGGGGGGGAGTCTCTAATCCAAATGCAGATCTTCATAAATTTTCAAGATAAAGAAATTACCTCTGGTGGTGCCGCACAAAGCATATAGAAACAATGATAGTTTCTTTTAGGGTCAGAGACTAGTTGTGAAAAGCGCGCCTGAGGCGCGATGCGCACGAAGCGCTAGAGGCAGTGCATCAGCAACCTTGATGCGCGCGCAGTTCATGAGGCGCGCGCCTTACTGCGCCTCGTCGTATTATGCGCAGTGCCTTGATGCGCAAAAAGGCGCGCCTTGTGAACACCTGTCTACTTTTTTTATTATTTTATAAATTAGGTTTAGGGATTAGCATTATTTATTAGGGCTAAACCCTCCCAACTTTTACAACCCCCAAGGAGATTAAACGGCACCTGGGCAAATTAAACGATTGTTTTCTCTTCTTTTTTTCTTCGAGTGCGACTCTTCCTCCTGGCTCGCACGTCCTCCAAACCGCGGCACACCTTCCCGTCTCTTCCTCCAGTCTCGCAAGTGGCAGAACTCAGAAGCAGTCAAGCAGGTGATATCGGCTCTCCTTCCTGTTTATTCTTACTTTATTTTTTTCTATCGCTGGTTTTCTTCCTTCTACTGGGCAAGTTAATTTGTCTGGTTTTCTTCCTTCTTAGCCTTTTGTCTATCATTTTTTTGCTCTTTGAATGCTTTTTGTCTATGACTTTTGTTGCTCTTTGAACTTTATGGTTTTTAATTTTATCAATGCCTCTATGGTACAATGTGTGACTTTCAATCTTAATTGATTTCTAAACCTTTATTATGCTTTTAACAGTTTTATATATACTATTCTTAATGTAGATATACTATATATTCAATATTATACTGGTGCCTTAATCTGCGCATTGTGTTCATGATGCGCGCGCATCAAGTGTGCATCGCGCATCGAGGCGCTAGAGGTACTTTGTGCATCGGTGCGCATCACGCCTTAAATATCTGACCGTCAGACACCTGGCACACACGAGATCTTTCCAAAAGATATGTTCTGATAGCAGCACCTGAGATTCTTCCCCTTTTATCAAACTGAATCTCAACAAACTTACCAAAACGACTGTCACAAGTACATGATTGAGAAGCAGACATTGATCAGTTCAAAGAACAAAAAAGGATCACACATAATTTATAGCAATTATAGGAGACAAGTCATCTTTTAGGTCTAAGTGAAGTCATGTTTCAACTTCCAAGACTACACATGTTACGGCAATATTACGAATTACGGAGTATATGCTTCAAGCTTGTTACAAATGTATTTTT